GACCGGCAGAAGCCGCCGAGGACGGCCAAGAATAACATGGGACAAATGCATGGAAGGATTCAGCTTCACACTCAACTTATCTTCTGCCAAATCTCAGAGGCTGGTACCGAATTGAGAACACTGGAGACGTTGCCTGACGCGTCTGCTTCTGCGACCCCAAAGCACAAGTGATCATCGAATCTTACTATCTGACTAATGTTTCGGTGTGGTCATGAGAGGGCTGCAAAACTTATCACTTCTTTGCACTGCATGCCTTAACGACCAGAATTGCTCAGTAGGTATAGCGCCGGACTCAGAACCGAGAGGTCCTGGGTTCGAACCCTGATCAGACCACAAGCGTTTCCTCCTTCTGAGGTTGATAGCTGAGTATCACTGTTTGGGAAAGAAACATGAGAGAATGCACATGGTTGCCACACAGCTGTTGTCGACTCTGCCTTTAAAATAACACGCTCCCAACTAATGGCACGGAAATGGAGATTAGCCATCAACATGAAATTCATAAAATGAAGGGGGCGAGAAATAACCCCATCATGAAAGCGTAAGGAAGACCGACATTCCAACAGTTTTCGGTCCTTCCTTTTATGACATGATGTCCGCTCTTTATGAATAAAATGCTCCTTGACTCGTTACATGTGATTTAATTATCATTCATAAAAAAAGTGAGTAAATTGATTAAATACATGCTATTATCACTTTATTATGCTCCCTGAAAAGGAACATATAAACATGTCGAAAGGTTAGTGACCAAAATTTCTGTCATTATGAAGCAACTGATTTTCGATCCTTTAACCAAGAAAGTTTATGTGACCTTTCGTGTTTAAAGAAAATAAAAACAAATTTTGTCATCGTTGTAGGAACGGTCTTCCTTGTACCTTGATGGCGAGGCCATTTCTGGCACCCCTCATTTTATGAAATTAGCGGTGGTGTGATCAACTCCATTTCTAAGTCATCAACAAGAACTGCCTTGTTTTAAACACAGAGTAGATGGCAGCATAGTGCGTACTCTCCCATTTCCTTCAGAGAGAGTGGTACTCATTTATTCACTTTGGAAGGAAGAAAGGCGTGTGATCCGAAAAGGGTCCGACTCCGGGACATCTCGATTCTGACTCTTACGTTGTACCGACTGAGCAATCCCGGCTTTCGTATTTAAAGATGGTCATTAATACTGTAACATGTTTAAAGAACTAGGTATACACAAAGAACAATCCATAACAACTGTATAACCACAATGACGTACCCGTGGTTTTAGAAATGGGCCGGCTGATGCTGTGGCAAAAATAGCATGTTTCTGCTGGGTCGAAGCTGTTCCTTTTTGCATAAACTGTAAATCATCACCTGAATGACAGGGAAATCAAATAAATTTCAACGATACTTCTCTCATTTGTGTAGATGGCACATGCCTGGCTCTGGAATCAGTTGAGCAGGTTCTTTTGGACAAAGGCTGCAATCTGAAAATGTACTAATTATGTTAAAAATTGTTTTGCTATCAACGACAAAAGTCATCATTAGATAGAATTTACTGACTAGACTTTGATACTGATAAAAATTGGTTCCTTACTCATATTCAAATAAGAAACTGACGTGTCTACTATGAATTGCATTTGCTCAGCGGTTTACAAGTAACATTTTTATGTCTCAAAAGGAAATGGGATTTGCGCTAAGCAAAACTTTCACCTAAAGACTGTCATTAACTTGTGCATCAACAGTGCAAGCGGTAGAACTGAATTAGAAGCTGAAACTGAAGTTAGCTTGGGAAACTGAAATCACAAATCCTGGGAAGATATCAGGGATTAGCAGCAACGCTTAAAAGGAGAATAAGACAATTTTTCTCCAGCCCGCATTGGAAAAGGAAGCGTTCATAAAACAATTATAAAATTTTCGAAGACCGTTGCGTTTGGTCACGTTCCGCTTTGAGATATTACTGCCGGTCATATGATGAAAAGTGAAAACTCGCAGGTATGGAAAGGGTGATCGATCTGTCGTCTGTTTGAATAATAGTTCATGGTATTCGCTTCGCGATTTATCTTTTAAGGTAACAGTTAGCAAAGACGATGTAAAATCATTTATTTACCGAAGCATTTTGACTCCGTACACCAACGGTATCTTCAAATCATGTCATTATTGTGTCAGTAGATAAATGATTTTACATCGTCCTTGTTAACAGTTACCCTTAGCTATGGATCGAGAAGTGGACAACTTTAAGTGAAGACATGTGCAGGCTTCCTAATAAAGCTCGCATTTGATAATACAGTGTGGTTCTGATATCCGTTTCTACGTGATCATTGAAGAGTGCCTTATTTTTCTAAGCGTAATCTACAACTATATGACAAGAATAAACATGCAGTGTCCTACTGCCTTCGCCTTCCGAGAGAGTGGTAGTCATTTATTCACCTCGAGTGACATGACCGGAGCTCGAACTCAGCATTTTTTGATTATGCGTCTGATGCAGTGCCGACTGAGCAAGTCGGTCTTCGAAATTTGATTAAGAGAGAACCTGGATCACTAGATAAATCTTTCAAAGTCCGCTCCTTCCTCTACCTGAAAAGTACAGCAGGTCTTTAATGCTCTTTTTTAAAATGGATGAGTGTAAAATGATACCTGACAACATGTTTACTTAAGTCTAAGTGATGAACAGGAATCAGGGAAATACAGAGAAAATTTTTGATGAAAAACTTTTGCTACATGATCCTTTCGTCACAACAAACGGAATGTGCGTTCAATCAGCTGCTCTAAAATTAGCGCTACTGTTAAATTGTCCCTTATAAAGCTATTTCAAATGTGGTGCGTTACGCTGGCATCACAAATCTATCTGAGCATTCGCATTTTTGTCGAGTTCACGTGATGCCTATGTGTCTTAAGGACAGCCAACACTCCGCTCCGTACAGAAGCATCCGACTTAGAATCGTTCTGTGCATCTTTACCTTTAGCTTGATCAGCATTTTCTAATGCCATAATACGCCGCTCACATCTATTCACCTAAGCCACACTTCTTTTCGATCGATTTCCCCTCTGTCTTGCACGACATAAAGAAGATATTTGAAATCTTTGGTTTTAGATAGCATAATCCCTGCCGCTTTCACTGATTTGTTGGCTTTCCCTCTGTTCTCCCCAGTGAAATAGCCCGCAGTGTATTCTGACTTACCTTTGCCCAACGGACATTTTTCTCTAGTAATCTTCTTGG